ACTATCTGTATGCGAAGGCAAATTCCACTGTGATCAGTTCTTTAAGGCCCACTTTCACTTCACGTTTGCAACTAACGTCGATTCGTTTTATCGATATTTCTGCTTGGCTTTTGAGCCACGAATTTGTGCAGACAGGGAAGCGGGGGGTTTCGGAGCTTATCCGGCACTGCCAGTCGCATTCATTTGTCAGAGAATGGCGAAAGTAAATTTTGCTCATGGTATAGCGTTTCTGTTAGTTTTGGTTGTTTTTACAGGTATGCGCTACTTTTGGACGAGAGTTGTGAGCTGCTTCCTCATCCCACTCTATGCAAAATCTCGTACGGAGTTGGCGATGCGCTGTTCCGGTTGCGACATATGTACATGAAACATCCACTATGCCAACACAATTATTCATGCCTGAGCAGAATTGTCGAGGTGCTTATTTACCGGGAATTTTTGCATCATAGTTTCTTGGGTGGTCCAGTTCATTCCCTCTCTGCTGCAAGCAGAATTCGAGTGTGATTATGTTAAACTATCCTCTTCTGGTATTCATGGTTATCACGGATGCCTGTAAATTTCTCGCGGAGATTGCGATATATGTCATCTGAAGTTTGTATAAGAAATTATTGTCAGCCTTCAAGCATCGCCGTTTTTGCTAGCGTCCGGGATGATTTTTGTTTCCACTAATCAGATGGATGTCAGTGAGGGAGCAAGGTTGTAGAAATGTTCGCTAGACCTGGCACACTTGGAAAGATTGCTAGCATAACATTTTGCAGATCTGCTTACGAGAAACTGTCACTTTTGGTTTTGAGTGTTTATTGGCATCTGATAGCTTTTCATTCCTTAGATTCATTGTTGAGCGAAGCAGTCATTTTGCTGTCTCTTTCAGGCATGCATTGGTCCTCTCACAGCATTCGATGCGGGGCAGCACCTACACGTGGCATCTCGGTCTAATACATCTTTTTACAGGCGTTCTGCAAGAACTTCTTCAAAGGCTTAATTTGGAGTGTTTGCATCACCTTGCTGAACAGCGGTTTTGCGGTTGTGCGCCGGCCCTTTGCATTTATCTTTCTCCTTCTTTCCTTCCGCACTTTGCGACTGCCATTGTTTTATGGATCTCTGGCATCTTTATGTCAGGTATTTGCATCATCTTACATTAATTTGCAAAATTTTGAACCAGTTGCGGATTTTGATTGAAAAATTTGTTTGGGATGAGAGAAATAAGCTAGCTGATAATTTCATTTTAGGTGGTGCGCTGTGGGGACCGTTACTTGGCACTTCGGCAGTCGGCCCCAGCATATCTCTATGGCATAGCCAGTGCTTTTGCTATGCTCGTTTATTCGAATTGTTCGGTGGCTTTATTTGTGTTTTGGAAGTTCATAGAGGTTTGTTTCACTTGCTGGTTAAGTTGCGAGTTACTTTGTTGGCTGATTTGCTAATTAACAGCATACAAGCTCTCTCCCTCCCCTTCGTCCTCTTCAAGAAACAAAGAAAAACTTTTTTTTTAACCTTTTTGAAGCTTTGCCTTGCTTGGCTCGCGACAGCATCCACCAGCTTATAGCGGATTTCTTCGGCAGGGGTTGCTTGAAGTTGCGACTGGACATTACTTCAGGTATGGGAAGCCTACTTCTATGCATTTACGAATAAATCGAAGCGAAACGTAGGAATACTTTTTTCCTGCTACTTACTGTTGAACTGCTGTTTTTTAGGAAGGCCACCATCACAGAGTCCCTTTTATGAAAAAGGCAATACAGTGTTTACGTTTGTAATGAAGTAACTCCCTTGACTTTTCAGGCTTCTTACTTTGCGTACTGTAAAGGACTTGCAGTGCCATATGGCGACGTACTTCTGTATGCCTTATCGACAGGTTTCGTGGCATGGAATGCAACGGTCGAACCTCATACTCTTCGGAAAGCCTACTGGAAATTTCTCGTTGGACTTACTGGAAGAAGGTTAGCTTTTTGATGCGTGTTTGGCGCATCTTATTACTTCGCATTGTTAAAATGTAAATTTAATGATAGCACTGATTTTGGTAATCGCTAGTGATTATAGTCAAGTAATCCAGTTAAGCGGGTGCAAGCGAGCGAGCGCATGCGAAGAAGTCTTGTTGCTGCATGTTTGATCCAGTGAAATTTGTTGTAACTATCTATCAAGCGAGATCCTTTTTTAATACATTTTGTAAGTTTGATTACTGCTTATGAAATTTGAACCGTAATTTCAGGATTGAATTGCTGAACAGGCGTCTTTTTGACCATTTTGGGTACCGATCATCTGAGAAGTTTTCGAATTTTGTGCCCAAGTTTCGCTAGAATTTTTGCCGATATGTAGTTTTGTGTTATCTGCTAATGAGCTTCTTTCGGTTTTCTCTCACTGTCTTGGCTCTGTTTTGGATTTGTGAGTTAGTAGTTTAAAATGTATGGAATTTATTGGTATGCGACTTTTTGCAGTGTTGCTTTTACTTTTGGCTTGGGAGCACGGGTTCGAAAAAGTAAGCCTGATAACATTGTTTGTAGGGATTCAGTTTTTGACAATTACAAAAACTCGGCTAGTCTCATACACAAGCCGCAAAAAATTTTTTCTCCTGACGGCAGGTAGGGCTGCCCCACGGCGGTTGTTGGCAGTTTGAATGTAGTAGGTG